GTGTGGTGCACGTGTGTGATGGAGCCCATGTGTGCACTGGCACATGTTTGGAGGTCAGAAGACAACCTCCCTAGAGTCAGTTTTCTCTTCTACCTTCCCATGGGTCCCTGGGATCAGACTCAGGCCCAGGCTCAAATAATGGTCACTTTATCAGCTGAACTGCCTCGCTGGTCCCACCCTCGCCTTCCAGAGGAACCCCCGTACATGTGGTGGCACCTCTTCACACTGGATGGCCCAGGAGGTTTCTGTGTGTTGGATTTGCTCGGATCTGTAGCATCCCCTTAGCTGAGGAGCCCCCCATCAATTTGCATTTACTTGGATGCAGTAGACCTTTAAGGGGACCTGCCGACCTCCGAAAACAGATCTCATTATATTACACTTGCCTCTACATGTCTCACAGATGTAGACATCTGAACGCTGTGCGCGGACGTCTGCAGGATCCAGGGTGGGCAATCGGCCGCACAGGATGCAAGGACCAGGCCTGGCTGTGAAGTTTGGGAGCCCCTCCCTCCTCCCACCCTGAGATCCTCATCACTACTATACAGCAGTTAACTGGGGTGTGACTTTAGTAGCCCCACACACTCATTGGTCCCCCCAGGGTGGCCTAAGGCAAAACCCGTTCTTTGGTAGGCCAGGGCCCTCTCTGTCTTCCCAGGGAACGTCACATCGCAATGTCCCAGGCACATAACCGGATCTGGAGCAGAGGCCTCTGCCTGTTTTGGTGTCACCAGGTCTGTTCCTGGGCTCAAACTGTCACAACATAGCAGCTGAGACCCTTTCACAGGCAGCCAGCAGAGGGCAGGAGAGCCTAGAAGGCAGAACTCAATTCCTGCTCGCCACTTGGCTGGAGATGCAAACATAGGTCAAGGCTCATCCTCTCTGTTCCTTCCTGTCCTCAAATGCTGGCCCTACAGGGCTATGTGTGGCCTCTACAGATGGTGGCAGCGGAGCATTCTGCAGGGGGAACGGGGTTTCAATACGGTGTTTGGGACTCATCTGCCCAGGAAAGAAACAGAATTATTGGGCCAGGAAAAGAAAGAGTAATTCCCGAGAGCACTCGCTGAGTCGGAGACCTGACCATTTCTAACTGGGGCTACAGGGGAGCCAGGGGCAAGCTGCATGGCTGCTTCTGTGTCCTGCCATCTCTGATCGGAGGAAACCCTGTCAGGAGGCCTGATTCTTGTCACCCCGGCCACTCTCAGGAAGCTCCAGCCGGAAGCCGAGCTCTGCCAGCCCTGCTTCCTCTTAATTTTATCTTCCAGGCAACTGCTCTCGCCCAGCTTCCCAGACAGAGCGAGTGGTGTCTCCGCACGGAGGCCCTGAAAGGAGGCAGAAGGCCGGGGCCTCACACCTAGAGGACTCTATGGCAGGAGTCCACACGGAGAGAGCCACCACCCGGTGTCACTAGGGTTGCAGGGGGAGATGACATCCCTTCAGGTCCTCCCAGTCAGTGCCCTGTGACAGACAGGAAACCCACTCCAGACGAGGCAGAGATATCCAAGTTCAAGCACAACTGAGTGAGCAGACAGGGCAGAGCAGGTGGGCTGGGCATGCAGCATGGACTCTCCTTGCCACTACACCTGTACCAGCCCGGCTCTGGGCCCCAGAACACCCTTCCGCCATGCCCACCCCAGTCTGGGAACGAAGACTGGGAGAGGTAGCGTTCCAGAGAACAGCTTCCATCCCATCCCGGAGCATCCTGCCTGCACCTGAAGCCTCAGGTGGCCAGCTCCGACCTAGGACGCTGGTACCTGGGAAGCGGATGCTACCTTGAGTTACCTCTGAGAAAACATTGAAAAAAAAAAAAAAAACAGCTCTGAGGACTGATCCCTGCTGGGGCTAGGAGTAGAGAACAGGGTACTTCTAGCAGTGCTTTCACAGACAAGGACAGCAAGGCACAGAGAGGCAAAGTCACTTGTCCAGGGCCACACAGCAGGATGAACTAAGATTCAAACTCAGTCTGCTCTCCAGCCTCTATCTGGGTGTGCAGGGTGGGGGGTCCTACAAGTGATGAAACCCCCTTCCTTGTGTGTCAACAAGACCAAGGAGGAAGAGGTGTCCACCCCTGTCTACCCTTCCCGAGTCACTGGCTGACCACGAGTTAGAGACAGGCCCTACCACACAGCCAGGCCCGAGTCTCCCGGTGAACGGAGAAGTAATGACATGTGACCAGTGAGGCCAGGAAAGTGGTATCTTCAGAGCAGACGTGGGGAAGACGGGGGTGGGGGGTGGGGTGAGAGGGGGTGTGTGAGGGCAGGAGTTTGGGAGAACAGGGACCCCTCAAACGCCCTGAAGATGAAATCAGTCTAGCCACAGCCAGAGGAATACTGCCC